ATTTCAATCAAATAGAAAATATTAGACTTAAAGTGTATATATTTTTATATGGAATGGTGCACTCGTTTGCGCTAACGGTATAAGCCGTCGTGGCGATTTACTATTAATTAACCACGATAGTTTCTAGGACAGACCCCGTTAAAGATCACTCAGGGTATATTACTAGTAATAGTACCAAACACTACCCTTATTGCCCAGCTCAAAGTGTAGTAGGTAACTCCGGATATAGAGGAGGGTATATACCTAAATATAAGAGATATAATAAATGTAATATACATCAGGTTGACCTCCACGAAATGTCTCTGATAACCATCATAGTCAATTTCTCTTAAAATTGTCACTACGCGCCAAATGACTTGTCTCATGATTATCACAAATGTACCACTGGCGACCAACCACAATTATATAATTATCAGTTGCAACTGGTAATAGCAACAAAAAATTAATATTTAACCGGATCTGCGCATTACTAGCGCGTTACTAGTACTTCTCCTTCCTGATTTATTTTATTTATTTATTTATTTATACTCTTTATTGCACCAATTACAGAACAAAAACAAAAAACAATTAAAATGGAAAATATACACTGATACAAAAGGCGGTCTTATCGCTAAGCAATCTCTTCCAGACTACCTTTAGGTGGATAGAGAAATAAAAATAAGAACAGGGTAGGTGGCGCACGTAATAAACAAAAATAAATATATAGGACTCAAATATACATAAATATAAACATACACATATTCTTAATCGTGTTATTAAATATCAACATTCGACCCTCCAATAAGGTCCCGCACTTGACTTAACATGAAAAACTCAATGATTGTAATTATATAGACTTACACGGCACTGGACCAAATTTATGTTTATCTAAGAGATAAAGTTTGATGGTAATTAAAATAATTTGGCGGGACAAGCAGCGAACTTATAGTGACGCGTATGATTTAGTGACCTTGTTAATGGGTTTACTTCGTCAAAGTTTAGCCCGGCTTGTTCTCAGACCCTATTAATAAGTCGCCGCAGTGAACGGTGTATAGTTTCAATATTTTATAAGAATTTATAGCTCACTTGCTTCTTTAAAATGTGAATAAGTATATAGTTAATAATGTTCTATAATACTAAAAATATTTTAAACTTATTTATTACATTGAAGTAAGTATAAACGATTATTTGCGTTTAGTAAGTATTAAGGTCAGTGTAATGCTAATTTTATTATTGTTAATTTATTAGGTACGCAGGTAACCCTAATGAATATAAGATTTATCTAATTGAAATATACACTATGCTAATAATCTACTTTCTCTCTAATTATTTTTATTGTAAATGATGTTACAGAGTCTATATGGTATATTCGCTGCGATAAATATCTATAAAGAAAAACCAAATAGCTAATATTTTGTACTACGAATATTACAGATATTGTATATAGGCGCGAACTTCCCAATTTGAGTTAGTGGTTTTGTCGCTATATTTGTTCTCTGCGAACTTTGGTATAAACCATCAATGATGTATATAAATTCACAGGCACCGCTAAGTACTTACGTGGGTGTATAATACTTTTTATTGTACAATAATAGACGTTCTATCCTTTATCAAACAAAGAACCCTTCCAACAATTTGAGTATTCAATATTATACTTAATTCTTCTAAAAATAGCAATTGATTTCGTCTGTAAACAGATTTGTATTGTAAGCATTGGAAAGCGTCGGAAAAGATTTTCTTACATAAAACCCATTGACCCGGGGCGGTAACTCACGGGCGAGCGCGGGACACGCGGAATAATGGCTGCCATAATTTGCCTGTAATGGGCCTTACACTATCGCCCTGTCAGCCCTACCAAAAATAAGCTTCTTTCACCTAAATCTTTTCCAGCGATCCTAAGATGAAGCTCTTTAGCACTTTGTTAACACGCAACGCGCTGTTATGTTCTGTTTCCATTGCAGTGACTATTGTATTTAGATCCCACATCTAGCTTGTCTTAATGGAAAGTATTGAAGTAGGTATATGACTTTATGAAATACCATTAATATAATAAAAATAGAGTGCGAGTACCTTAATCAGATTTCGGTATTGTTTTTAGTGTTCCTCCTTGAATGTCAAAGATACAAATGAATTCATTGATCCAATTAAAAGAGACTAAAATAATATCATTGTTTGCTTGTTTTGCACATAGTAAAACACTTGACGTTATATTAATGTTTTATATTTGTAATCTAATGGATATATTCTTGTATGTATAATATATTAATAATTAAGTAATGAGAATTATAAAATATTTTGTTATTTCTGCTTGTTTACATGTTTAAATAATTACATACTTAACTTTCTGTTATTATTTATTTATATTTGTAAAAAAGGCAAAAATTAGTACAAAAAACACTAAGAACATAAGTCAATGTTACGTATATATTTGTTTGTAATCCCTAATTTTTCTAAGCTGTTGTGGAAAACTAAATAGTGAATCATCGAATAGAATGCACAAATTTACCTTTAAAAATTACTAATTAATTTGTATTTTGTTTCCAAATATATAATCTTTTTATCAAAATCCATTTTTCCAATACTCGTTTAATGGGAATCTTGCATAATTAATGATTAATCTATTTGCAACCATTTCTTTTAAGTAATTATTCATAAATGTTGCAGTTTTTGGGACTGTTTTTAAAAATTGAGATGTACCTTTTATAATAATTTATTATACTAATAATAATTATTAACATTTTAATATTATCCAGCTTTACCTGAAATCTTAATAATATATCTTTATTCCTCTTGTCTTGTATGGGTAGTCAGAGGTCTTATCTTTTTTAACATAACACTTAGCACATTTTACTGGGTATATTTGAATTTGATGTGGCGAGCCTAAGGCCCAGTCTTGCAATAATTTCGATTTATATCTGTCCTTATCACCAGTCACACAATTTAATTCAGTTTAAGTTCGATTTGAATTCAATGTCTTAGGGGCCTAAGTCAGAATAATACAATGTAATTTGACAAATTACTTAGTTATCAAGCCCAACTACCTTTTTGTATTTTGTATTTTAATGACAATGAACTGCAGCAAGATATTCATTGTTCATTATTCAATTTTTAGAAGCTTCGTAAATAGAGAACACCAAACTCCAACAAAGATCAGTCAGTAATTATGAATAGTAGCCGCTTATATCTTTGATTGCGACGTCGACGACGTTAATTTCATTGACATATCTTCTCACCCTTCAACAGAAACATATCTTACAACCTAAGATGCATGCCAGCTGAAGTAGTTGAGACCTCTGTTGGATAAGACAAAGACATATTTAGACAACTTTGTACAAAGTTTGCACTTGTTAAACTGCAAAATAGAAAAGATGCGATATATAGTACTTATAGTACCTACACAAAATACGTGTTGAGCAAACGAAGCAGAAGGCGTGTCTAGTAGAAATGTTACTGGCTTTACGACGCCTCTATCTTAATTAATCGCGAGCTTCGCTGTGCTCTTTATTACGGCCTTCACGGCTGATTTACCAGCTTTTGGAAATCAATCAGTGTGAAACATCTGCTGTAATACTCTTATTGACGACAGTGGTTTCCGTTTCAACTATAAAATTGTTTGGTGAATCATAAATGGCGCCAAGGACATTAAAACTTGGAGTTGCAAAGTTAAGGTCTCGAAACGAAATAAAATTACCAAAGATTTAAAAGTTCGAAAATTTGAGTAGGAGTTCTTTAGATACATTATGGAAAATTCAGAGTGGAAAATTTTCCTTACGACTACGTAATATACAATATGTATATCTACAATGTGTACATATTTACATACAAGGTCGCTTTTGGTTACCTACTGAAAATTGATGGTTAGGGCGGAATTCAGGTAGCACGTAGCAAAAACTATCTTGTAGTCTGTACTCCCTCCGCCAGATGGCGCGCTAAAAGAATTCAGTACAACCCCTAACAAGTTACGATACAGGTAGACAGATGGCGCTCTATCAGGGACTTGTATTATAGAAGAACATAATTCTAGAGAATAACTTTATTATAATATTTTTTTATGTACATTTATAGACAGCAGCTTAGTTACGAGAGGCTCTGGTGTTTACCAGAACAAAACTCCTAAAGTCATGAGCGACTTTTAGGTTTGGGGCGATTGGGCGATAAGGTTGGTTAGTGTTAAATAACGTATAAATTGGTAAAACCTTACAATTATTTAATAATAATAAGTAAAAACATATATTTTTACTTCTGGTTCAATAACCTACTTAGACTTAAATAATTGCGTAAAACGTACTGTACTTTTAATGAGTTTGTTTTTACCTCAGTTGTGGCGGGATGCTATTTATCTATCATGTTATTACCTTGGGATTGTCTTTAATTTAAAAAGTTATCCGAAACGTCCGTATCCAGTACAGGCCTATCTAGTTGTTCCGCACTTGGCACACGAAACCTCCTTCATTACAAGACACTTTTTATCCAACGCTTTCCCCTATATTTTTTTCATCGGAAGCCGTTTATTTATTTTAATGGTAAAGCTGAAATTTTACTTGAGGAACGATAATAATTTAATGGTCCCGATAACTAAAGTTACTAATATACAGGTAAAAATCTTAATTAATATTCACTGTTTTTTAGTATTCATACAAAGTAAAATTACTTAACTAAGTATAAGTCAATTCATAAACAATTCTGAATTAGGTACTTCTAAAAATCAAAGGATTAAACAAATTTTTCTATACTAAATAAATAATATTTGGTCTATATAAAAACTATATTTGGTCTTGTACCAAATTGCTTTTTTCAAATTGTTACAAAATGTCCTATATAGTTATATAGGTATCAATATTATCGACATCTTGTCACTTGTAATTAAAGCAAACAACGTCAACGTCACCAGCGGTACCAACGCGATGTGTCAGTATTTTATAAACGTCGCTGAAAGGCGAGGATGACCTAATGCTGACTGGGCCTCTGACACTGGCTGTCAATATCGGCCCTTGTTGGGAAACTTTTCAAAATTGGAATTCCGAAGTTGGCAGAGACGTGCCGGCTCGCAGCTCTCAGTGTGCACGCTCCATCTCTCAAAGGAAATTTGGTAACGGGCCATGTATTTACCCTGAAATTGAATTATCTATTGTGGCGTAGATTATTGCATTTACTCACCGTGAAATTGCTAAATACTGAAAAACAGAAATGTTTATCATTGTAGGTATCTTGTTTGTGTTATAAAATATATTTAATATACCATCTATGTATATTGTAAATTTTGGAAATTACATTAAATGTATTTAAATAGCTTAGAATTTAGAAACTAGACGAAAGTGAAAAGTTTAACTAAGTGATAACGAGACTAAAGTTGCATTGTGAGTTCTGAGATTAAACGCAACCCAATTAACTGGCGTGGAGTCCGTGCCTGCCTCGGCTTGATATCAGATTAGCTCGTCGCTGTATTACATTAGTGGACGTCATACCATCACGCTCTATAATATCTATATAACTTACCTACTAAATCTATCTATCCAATTATAACACTCAAGGTACTCAATAGTAATGCAGATTAGATTCGACAACATAATTATGGGATTGTATATGAAATTATATCGAGTTCAGGGATCTATTAGGAGTACCTATATTAGTTTAATGAATCCTCGTTATGTCAGTTATCTATTTAATCTAATACAGCAGATAGGCGTTTTTACATATGGCTAGAACGACGGCTTCAAATGCGTGACACGCACGTTTAATGTATAATTTTGTAATTAATTAAAATACGCGTAGATTTTATAATATAAATTATATAATACCCTATTATATATTGATACTGCATTCGACAGTGATATATCCTATTGAAAAAAATTGTAAAAAGATGACCATGTATCTTATAATGAATAATATACTATTGCATTACGAAGAACATCAATAATTTAAGTAATTTCACATAAAATTACTTATTACATGTCTATTTCGCGCATTATAATGGTAGGTAAGCAGGTAGGTAAATGTAATATTTTACTATATGTTCTCCGTTTATGTCTATGTTCTCCGTAAATTAAAATCCCCCACTATTAATTCTATATTCGATGTATGTTAGCGAAAATACGAGTATTTTAGTTAGAATATTCAGCTCGTTAATCTAATGCCGGCCCGTCGGTGTCTCGGGGGTGCACTGTGTGCGACACTCATTGGATTGTGTTAATCTTCGCTCATGTCATTTCACCTAACTAGCCCCTCATAAAATTATTAATAGTATCTAATATAAGAGATTTCAGAAAAAACACGCTTCATTTTTAGTTTATTGAAACTTGGGTTATAGGGGTTTGTGTTCAACAAATGTGAAAGTGAAATATTATCGCGAACCGTCTAGTTGGTTCCTCTATTATAAAAAAATACATTTTGGTGTTTTATAAATTCCCTTTTTTTATATCGCCTTGAACACAGATAAGTTTCTTAATTTATCATGAATGCTTAATGTATTGCGTTTGAATATAGCTTTGGTGTAACATTATAAAATTACTTAGATCTCATTTATTGGTAAACTATGTAATCTATATAACTATAAGTATTTAACAATCATGTGAATATTATGCGTACAATTACAGAGATATGTGTTTCGCGTTTCAGTGAACGTCCAATATCTAATTAGAGTAGCGTCATAAATTGATTAATCCCTAATTCTGTATTGATGTCCATCTGTCGCTATGAAACAATACAATATCTATTGTAATTAATTCATGATTATGTGAGATATAAGAGATTAGATAGTTAAATAGATAGATATTTTTAAAATTTCGTGTTATATATTATATTTTACCTCTTTCGACGTCTCGACTAGGTTGCATTAGTCGTGGTGACGAGCTGATTATTATGTACTTTTTTAGTAGTATAATAGTAATTTATGTACAACTTTATTACGTATGGTTATTGTAATTACTTGTTGACAATAAAACGCAAATATTGATTAAAATATATATTTTTTATTTATTATATGGGAATATTGTAATCGAAACCGATCTAATATTTGTTATTATTGTTTTTTATATTATGCTATAATAAAATGCAAAATATGTAATTAGGCTAATATGATAAGATATAATAATAACAGGCGACAAGGTTTTAATACAAAATTATCTTATTAACTTAAACAAAATAAAATAACGTGATATCAGAAAGATAATTATCTATACTGACTGAATTTTTAAGAGTAAGAGATTACCAATTGTATTTATTTTATTATTGTAGTTTATATGAAATCTTCATTACTTAACTGAGCATAATTTCTATGTGTCTTTTGAAAACGGTTGTGTTTACACTCATGTTATTTCCATACAAATGAAGTTTGAATTTTATTTTGTGAAAGAACATATTTATATCTTTACATAGTACAAAATAAACTCGCTATCGCTGTCTGTCCGTCCCTATGTATGCTTAAATCTTTAAAAGTATGCAACTAATTTTGAAACGGTTTTAATAGATAGAGTGATTCGAGAGGACGGTTTATATATATAATACACGTACACTCGTGCGAAGCCGGGGCGAGTAGCAAGTCTAATATATAAAATTCTCGTGTCATAGGTTTCGTGTTTATACTCGTCCCAAACGGCTGGACCGATGTTGATGAAATTTTATATGTTTATTCAGTAGATCAGAAAATAGGTCTATAACAAATGTTTATATCCCTAAGTGTTATGGATGACTCACTCTTAATTTTTTTTTCATTTTTTTGACAATTTCTTTTATTTTTATTTTTTTATTAGGTATGTGACTGTAAAAAATACGTATAACCCTAAACCAGTTTCAGTTTCACCACTCTATCCCCAATTCCTACTTTTAAATTGCGATTTTAATTTATATGGCAAAACAGCTTTTGCCGGGATAGCTCGTTTATATAAGTATTATATTGTTTTACAAAATATAATTTACTGATTGACTTTATGTCGTAATATAATGCATGAATAAAAGGTTTTCAAATTTGAATTATATCCCGTAACTCAACTCAAATATGTTGATATTTTCTACTTACTACTTCATAAAATCGGTTGTAAAAATTCTATTAGAATATTATATACTAATACACCCCGTTTTGATGAAGGTTGGTTTGAGTAAAGGAATTTGACGGCTGTCAAATATCATTGGGTTCTGTTGGCAAATTTTATATTGGATAGGATGCTATGTAGCTTTTCCGGTAAAGGGTGCATACGTGAGTAGTGTGAGTATCGACTCAGAGAAGATTATGGCAACATTGGCAACCTATATATTTATTTTCTTCAATCAGAGTTTTTCTTATAAATCTCTTTTTTTTCGGATACTGTCTATATCTATCTAGCAAAGAGCAAATGCTGTAGTCACTATTAAAAATAGGCTTCAACAGCGCGACAGTACAGAGTATAGAATAGCATCTTTATTGCGTTTAAAATTACAGAGAGTACGACTGGTCTAGAAGATTTTGTGTAAAAATCAGTGAGTGCAGCGTTTTGCACCGATTCAGCACACGTGGTCAGCCTGATGCCTGTCCGACCTATTCACTACGTGATGGGACTGCCTTATGGGGTGGTCGTGTGTACACATGAACAGAGTATTCTTCAATATTTTACCTAAGATCAAAATAAGATTGAAAATTTTAACTATCTTACGGGATTCAAAGACATGTCATTGTATCGCAGATAACGAGATTAAGTGTTTTTTCTTTTACAACATGAAAAAAAATATATTAACTAATATTTAAATTTTACAAACATTCACGTGATTTACAGTAGTAGTATTAAGTAGTAATTTGTACTTGAAACCTCGTAGACACATTATAACTATGTTAATTTCATAATATAATTATAATTGTAATGCAGAATTCTTTATATATACAATTACATATGGAATTATAATTGAGCAATCTATGTTGCACTTTACATCTATTATTATATATACATTGACCAAAGAAAACGTTCTCTTAAGATATCTACGTGAATGGAAAGTTACGGTAACCATTTAGTTAGTGCAACTACTGGCAAATAAAAGGTATTTATATGATAATAATATTTTTTTTACAAGAAAACCTCTGATATTATATAGATATCTTGATGAAATAAATATTTATTGTTATAATTATTTTCATATACATACGTATATTTTATATCTATAATATCTATATGTAAAGATTTTTGGAGTTGTCAATCATATTACTATGACCTAGTTCTTCAGATAGGTTATTATTTCATCTCCTGATTGTATTTTCTTTAAACAATAAAATAAAATGTTCACTCATTTCGAGATAAGTAAATACGTTTTATTTTTTTACAGATAGGTATCTATTTATTTAATACAAAACCAATATGGATTTTTTCCTCATTTTACCCCTCTCTATTTTAACTTGCGATGCAGTTAAATTGGCACTCGATACCCAATTACTACTCGGAATTCAAGCTAAATTGGATATTAACTCGGTCAACATAAGTACAGAAAATCGATACACATCTTGGTTTTAAAAATATATAAAGGTGACCAACGTGGTTGACTTAAAATGTATTGTCTAACTGATTTTAATACCATTATACGATCATTTATAAAAATACAAATTTAGATACTGATATACTGTAATTTAAAGGTTCACATAAAAAAATAGGAAGAGAAAAAAAATATAATACTCACGATTATTCTTTTATTCTTTACAGTAATATAAAATCTATAATTATATTTCCTGAGATAGGTATACATACATATAAGGCAGCTGCCTTATATGTATGTATACCTATCTCAGGAAACATATCCTAGTTTACATTGACAACTGTAGCTACAGTTGTCCATGTAAACTGGGATATGTTTCTTAGTAGTTATTGGCTGACCTCGATCTGGGTATTACTGCTATACTGTATATACTTTGCGCGACCATTATGCAAATTGGATGTAAGAAGGTCAGGCCATGAGTGTAAGATGCAGTTTTAATACAGCGTTGGCGGCAACGTTTGGGTCATAATTCACATGCTTGTCTTGTTCCCCATTGGCTTGACGCTTATTTCGAACGTGACAAGGATATAGATTCTGTATGGATCTCAACTTAATGTGTTTTATTTCCACATACAGCCAGTTGTCGTACTGTGCATTTTATTGCATTATTGACTTTAGTCAAAATTATGGATAATTGGCCTGGCGGAGTTTGGTATGCATGAATTACGTGAAACTAAAATGCGATTTAATTTTATTTAAATCCGTTCAACCATATATACTAAGATCGAGGAGTAAATAGCCAAATAACTCTATATTAAGTCAATTTTAACATAATATTTAAAATATTAAAATAGGCGCTAATTTTGATACTATTATAGGTAATATCCAATCCTATTATAGGTGAAAGGTCCTTACGCTTGACTGAAGTGGATGAGATAGAGACTCGAAGATACATCGTACAAAGACATCTCTTTTCTATGATATAAAGTCACCTCTGTAAACTCAGTAAAGTGAATAGACGACGTTATTCTTTTCAGTTTTAAAAATGTTTATTATCAACATAATTTATACTAAATGCTCCGTCCATAAATTAAAATGTGACGATATTAATATTACAAATATTTTTTGTTTCTTCTATCTGCAATAAACGTAGTAGACATGTGCTGAAATTAAAACTTTAATATAGCTCTCGGATCGTGTATAATGAGAGTAAATATTGAATAAAAAAGGAAACAGTCCCGCCTGTAAAGGAAGCGGCGTATTTATTAACGCTGCGACACAGCCGGGTAAACAGAGAATCTACTTTATATTAAACCGAGCGGTCCATCAGACGCGCTATTAGCCTGCGCCGACAATCTGCACTTACAAACCTCGCATTCTGTAGACATGACACATCGTTAATTATTATGTACCTATGTATATAAAGATTAATTGATTAATACATTGTCAATTCCGTGTACAAATTGGCCGTCCAATATTCTATTGGGTCACAATTACAAAATCCTTCTTCCACGTCAGGCATCGGTTATTAAGGACCTTTTTAATTATACTGGACTGAAAGTCCTGATTTGTATGCGAATATAGTTACAAATATTGTAATTCATTAAAATATAAATTCTATTTAAAGGAGAACGAGTTATAATATAATAATATCGTTATCGGACTTCTACTAAAATCTTTGAAATTAAACAATATAATATGAAATATAAAATAAAAATGATACTGAATTCATTTTCATTTTCTATTTCACATTATATTGTAGATTTATTGTAATTAGTATATTTAGAAATGCATAAAATGTCTAAGAAATAAACTTACATACCAAAGTCTAAACATAGCCACGTCTATGGAACGTCGGCGAATCTCTAATGAAACCGCTTCTGTTTATTCTGCCGATACGAAATGAGAAATGAGTGCAGTAAACCTTAACAATTTTATTGTTATCTGCACCGAGCTCTCACTGATATTAACGATATTAATAATACTCATTATTACAAAGATTTTCAATTCATCACTTCATTTATTTGTAGAAGTATACTAAAGTAGATATATGTACGTTTAATGTTTAATGTAGATATATGTAAATAATTATTCCACGAAAACAAATTATGTCTTTAAAACTTGAAAATCTTTGGTACATTATAAAAATATTTTTAGTGTTTGCAAGCACAAAAGTAAAAGTTGTTTAAGTTAAAAATTATCCCCGTCTAGTTAAACACAATGCAACTGTGGTCAACCACTTTCTCACATATCGAAAAATAAATCGAGATTGCTTTTCATATCTCATTATTGACATAGACATAAATAAAAAGTAAGACCTTCAACCTTGGGGATGATTAAAAGCACAATTGAAGCAAAGTGTTGGACTCAGGGTGCCTTACTGAGTCAATAGCAGAACGATGTCGGCATCGCTAGCCCGCGGGTCGCGGCAATGTCGCGGCAATCCACCGGATTAGGCCTCCAACACGCACGCTCGCGCCAACTTCCTATTTATGTTGGGTCGCTAACTAAACAACTTGTAGGCTCTTTATTACAGTTGTTCTTTTCCGCTCACGACGTCGTTACCGCTTCGATAAAATATCGTGTCGATTCTTTGTTTTGAGCAAGGGGCTTACGTTATATTTGGAATTAAGAAACGTACCTAAACCTTCCGTTTGCATTGTATTGAAAACATTTTATTATAATGGTTGACTTTTTTACAACTGAACAGCTGTATTATTGTAGATTTATATAACAACATTTGATTGTATAGTTAGGTTAATTACTATTTTATATAATACAGTCTAGAAAACAGTTAATCAGAATTGTTAGATTTAAGGTTTCAATTCCAATTTACACCATTAAAAAGTGATTTGAGTATTTAATTGCGTAAATTGGACAGAACACACCATAATTGAATTTGGAGACAACTATAGTAGGTAAAAAAATGAAACTCACAAAGTCGATAATTATGTTAATTTTTAAAAACATAGTTGGGACTGTTGAATGTACCTTCACTTATTAAAACAATTATTTTAAATGATTTTATGAAAAAATCTTGTAATAGCTCTTTGTAAATAATATTAGTTATTCTATTATTTATTTACAGATGTATTAGCAAAATGTCATGAATGCGTCGAGGATGGAGCGAGCGGGGAGGCGTTCGAAAGCCGGCTCGCTGAGTGGCTTGTCCGGCGGTGCGGCGGGCGGCACGCCGAGCGTGCGCCGGCAGCGCTCGCTCGAATGGGGCGGCGACCGCTACAGCAGCAGCGACGATGACCGCCCACAGCAAGCCCCACCGCTCGCCGACCGAGTGTTCGCTTCACTCCTCGCTCAGGCCACCCAGCAGTTTGATGGTAAGTCTTTTCAATGAAGGTGTGAATGTCCACGGTTCAATTCAAATTGTTTGCTAATTTCATAAGCAGACTTTGTACGCAGTTGTCTGCGTGGGTACCTCTATTTCACCTATTTCAAGAAGGTTTGTTCCGATTGAAGGGTGAGATGTGGCAGTGAAATTACTACTACAGTGTGATATCTCATGCATTGTCATTTTTGAGGACTATGCACGAGTACCACGGGAGTCACATGATAAGCTGATTTTGTTTATGTGAACGTGACATGTGGGTAACAGTTAACACTTACCATTATTTGCCATTCCAGTTAAATATAATACAAATTATTATAGAATACCATTTTGTATTTTCTAAGTAGATTTGTACTTTTCAGAATTACTTGAAAGAGTTTATTCATTAAAATAAGCCACCACAAATCCGGGCAAAATTAATAAACCTGGGAATAAAACTTATCGAAATCAAAAAGAATTATTCAATTCTAGTAAAAATCAACGAATATATCTTAAAACAAATATAGATTAATTCAGAAAAACTATTTTTAATAGGGTTGTAAAGTAGTTTGTCCGATATTACTCTCGACTGCGTAGACATAGACTAGACGTAGGCTGTAGAGACTTAGGACCACGATAACCCAATTTACAAAATGAGCCGAGTGTGCCGAGAACGTCGCAAGCAACAAGCATAATATACACGATCCATTTTTTATCACAATTATGTATATCTGGTTATGCATATATGTATATTTAACCAGATTATAATTAAAATATAGTTTTCATTTTCACTTTTTTAACAGATATGATTGTTATCACTAGTATTCGATGTCTAAAAATAAAAATAATGTTGAGGTAGTGCCCCGTTTGATATTTATGCTTAAAAGGAGGCTTCAACAATTGTATAGAACTTTGTAAAAATTGTGTTACCTAAATAAAAGGTTTGAAATAATTTTGATTGGAACTTATTTGTCTATGTGTAAGGTAAGTACTTAATAATCTTTCCATATTATAAAATGAAGGCGCCTCCGCTATCTTCTCTCCGCTTTGATGCAGTTTTTAACAACAGATGAAGAAAGTCAAGAGAAACGCTTATATGTATAATATATTTATACCTGTTCGAAACAGGGGTGGATAGCTAGCTGTAAATAAATGCCAACAAAGTTAAATAAAGTTGTCATTGCGTACACTGTTCAATAAATTACTCCGTAACTTTATTGCAGTCAGCTGCCACAAAAATATATAAACCGTGAGTGGGCTGTACTGTAAGACGCTTGTTGCATGAGAATCTTATGGCCTGGTAATATTTGACCGGCGGCTGCTACGGGTTGCGTCGGGATCAGCTTAGAATTTGTTATTCATCCGGTGACACGGCCGAAGGTCCGCACTGAGCCCTAACAAGTGGGATCATTAGTGGAGCGTTCCGAGGGCGCTGAGGGATGAGAGGGGGAGGGGGGGGGGACGACGGCAATTGATAGGGGAGCACCCTGCGGTGAGCTTATGAGGAAAACTTTACACGTAAACCCAACGCAGCCTCCACTTTTCGTCCTTCTGTCAAGCTAACTAAGAAGTTGATGAAGTCGTAGAGAGTCTTGTGTATAATTCAAGGAAAGTTTTTACAAAATATATATACAATATTTCTATGGAAATAGGGATTGATACATTGATGTAAAAATGTATTGGAAAGTTATACAATGTAATACTATCTTATCTGTAGTCATATATACTATTGTTAATATTTGTAGTCATATAATATAGTAATTTTACTGAATTGAAATAACATTATTATCTACTACATGTACCGCAGTACTAGATAGTATGATTTGCAGCATTCAATGTCTATAATACGAATGATAAAAAATTAAAGTATTATTAGGTCTTTTTATAAATATTTTATTATTATTTCAATAATAAATATCTTATTTAAGAAAATAAACTGATTAATTGCAACGGTAACATACGTTTTTAAATAATTAGACAATCGACAAGGAACATTGAGATAAATGAAATAATGCATGAAAGATTATAAATTATAGCCTATATGTTGCGCTGATATATAAGCTCTATAGCTTATATATCAGCGCAACATATAGGCTATTACTAGAAGGTTCCATAAAAATCCGTTCAGTAGTTTTTGAGTAAAAGAGTAACAAACATACATCCGTACCCATAAACTTTCGCGTTTATAATATTAATAAGATTAATAATAAATAACCTATTAATATTATTAATTAATAATATTAATAGGTTAAGAAATTACTTTCATAATTCGATTATTCATATCTGCTACTTTCGCTTGTTTACCTTTTCAGTTGTATAAAAAAATAGCATGTGCTTTGTTTAATTTTGATACAAATATGTATTGAATTTAAAATAGGAACTACTATATCATTGAACAATAATATAATAAAAATAGATAGGTACTATAGATGTGCAGCGGGTAAATAGTACATATAGAAAGTATTTGTATTAGAGAAATTAATCGTAGTACATCGAATCTGTAATGCCTCACATTTCATTCCAATATGTTTTTCTCAACGCACTAATGTCGACATACACTCGATATAAGAGAATTTTTTTGTAATGTGAAAGGAAAAAGTGGAACGTTTATTTAGAGGACACCTTTATACATAAACAATGAAGATATTTTTTTATTAAATTTCAATAATATATCACTAGTATAATGTTACACATTACCAAGTATATGTCAAATTTAAATACCTATAAATATGAATACAATATATGACTGATTTTTATACTGATTCATATCAAGTGATATCAAGGACGTGATAACAAGCAAAACACAGTACCTACCGATATATTCCTTACCACACATTGTAACATATGCACATGAGAACAAAAACTCCAAATAAAACCCTGCCTGAGTAATTTGTTGTGATCACGTAAACGCAATTATAGACTTAAAATAAATTAGAAAATGACCATCATATTCGAACTTATATTAATTTGCTCTAAATTTAGTTAGAACATCACAGTTCTGTTAGTGTGGCAATCGAATGAATATAACTTTTAAAATTTTTAACTTAATATTTAATTCAAATTTATCAACGTCGCTACGTACTGTTTTCGTTAAATTCTCTGACATGTACTAAAATATTTTAAACTTTTAAACAAATATTCCTTTTGTAATTCTATAATTCTCTTCTAATTTAACTTGCATTTTTACTTTAAACGTCTTTATGTAATAATGTTCTTTTAGTTTATTATGGTACTGTGGTTACATATTTTAGCCTAGGTAGATGCTGGCTTCAAAAATTATTACCCGTTAATAGCTTTGATAATAATCATAGATAAAACAAGAAGTCCATTTTGTTATTGTTACCCAACTGCCTGAGGGTAATGGTTTTGGATGTTTGTCTGTGATGTGGGTGACTCTTTGTAGGTAACCCTCAGGTTATCTAACCAAACGGAATGACCAATTTTGATAAATTATATTAACAGTGGATACAGGTAAGTATCCAAGTGTTTGTCAGAGTTGTTTTATTTAAAAGTTTTACAAACACAAGTTCTACCTTAAAGTTTACAGAAATCTGTAAACTTTTAAGGTAGAACTTTTGTTTGTAAAACTTTATTCAAGGTATATAAATCAGCAGTAATCTTATAGAAGAATTCAAATTATCTATTTTTAGTTTATTATGACAAATGAATTCCTCTATAAAATTCCTGCTGATTTATATACAAAATCTTTACAAAAGCTGATGTTACTTACTTTAAGAGTAACTGTAATGTGTACACATATAATTACCGTGTAAATAGTATAATTCAAAAATAATTGCTTCTATATGCTCTACATTCGAATCGAATTTAAAAATAACATAATCATGGCTTATCAACAAACTCAAATGAGATGAACCTTCACCATTCGATTTCGACACAATGGGCTTAGATTAACAAAGCTTCATTTACGATAACAGCCGTCCTGATTCTGTTGCTTTTGGGGGTATTTTCATTCTTATTTGCTTGAATATAAGGTTGAATTCTGGAATTGTAATATTTATAAAGTGATAGTTCGAGCTTATGACGAAAATTCGCTTACCGTAGCAATGAGAACAAACATGTGCGTTATTTTATATCCTGTTCGTGTTTTGTTACCATATCGATTTGAATGGCGAGTCGTTTGAAATTTCTAGCCCTATCTGATTTGAAATATTTTGTATTTCCTTATTTTCAATATTTCTATACTACGGCTACATTTTTTTTTAATAATATGAACCTATTGAAACTGTCATGCTCGCTATAATGTTCAAACTTGTGGATGGTCAATGTGAACGGATACTGCTTCTGGACACTTTTCTATTCGGATTACGTACACTGATTAGACTATTTTTTATAAAATTGCAATAGCATTAATTGGTGGTAACAATAATAAATTAAAATTAAAAAATGAATCTCCATTATTGCAAACCTGTACATTCATATTCATTTGAAAAGAATAATAGCTGAGTTTCTTGTTAGTTCTTAGTATTTACAGTTAAACATTCTAAACTGACGATAGAGATGACATATAATACGAGTCTGTAATAGACCTATATGAATGAAGAATTTTAATAAAATTTTTGAAAATTTTATTTATGTTGAAGACCGCTTCTTGCTCAAGTAGAAGATAGTGTAGGGAGACCCAGAAAACTTCATCACCCAGGTAAATAATTATATCCTGTGCAGGGTACTTTTATTATTGATGGCTTCATATTTTTTTTTTACTATTTGTTTAAAATGGTAACCGTCACTGATATTATAAAATACAGTATGACACTTGTATTGCCTAAGTTCTTTGGATTGTATAAGGATCTGGACTGAAGTACTATAATTTAATTTCTACAATTCAACCCTCAATTCTGAACATGGCTTATTAAGCAAGCTGTTTGCGCCGGAAATATGTGAAATACGTACGCAGATGACTTTGTACAAAGTCTCTGTCTGGTAATATCCGTGAAATGTTTGACTAGGTTAGAAATATTTACCTGCGTGAAACGAGAATGTATACATATAACA